CGAGACGGGGGCTCAGGATAGGACGTTGGGGTGCAGAAAGGATGTGGCAGGAGGTTGAGGGCAGGGAGTTGGGGTGCAGGCAGGGGGCTCAGGGCAGGGAGTTGGGGTGCAGCAGGGGGTTGAGGGGGAGGCAGGGGGGTCAGGGCAGGGGGGTGGTGGGGGGGGGGTGGGGGGGAAGGGGGCGGGAGAGAGTGCGAGGTGGGGCAGAGGGTTGGGGTGCAGGCAGGGGGCTCACAGCAGGGGGTTGGGGTGCAGGCAGGGGGCTCAGGGCAGGGAGCTGGAGGGGTGAGGCAGAGGGTTGGGATGCAGGCAGCGGGCTCACGGCAGGGGGTTGGGGTGCAGCAGGGGGTTGAGGTGCAGGCAGGGGGCTCAGGACAGGGAGTTGGAGGGGTGAGGTAGGGGGTTGGGGTGCAGGCAGGGGGCTCACGGCAGGTGGTTGGGGTGCAGGATGGCATTGGCCTGTGGCCTGGAGCCGCTTACCTAGAGAAATGGCCCCGCAGGCCGCGTGTTGGAGACCCCTGGCCTAGACAGAGCACTCAGGTATTTCCATCAGCCTGCTCAATGGCAAATGCAGCCACCCAAAGAAGTGAAGAAGAATGGAAGAGAAAGAGTAAAGCTGGACCATCCGCTGAGCTGCTGCACTCAAGTGAGCAGAGCCGGGGAGAGAAGAGGGAGAACTCGAAGGTGGCTGGCGGCAGTAGGGAGGAGAAGCAGTTTGGGAGCCAGGAGAGGAGAAATAAATAGTTAATGACAAATGCTGCCGGCTTTCTCTTGTGTGGTGAAGGGTTGAAAAGGGGTCTCTTTACTATCAGGCTAAACTTTAAAATAGCTGTTTATGGGGGGGGGTCTATAAAGGTAAGAGGTCACTCTAGGGGCTTGAAGTCCCAGATTCGGGGGCTATTGCAACTCCCTCAGGTGGTAGCAGTAGTGAGCGCTTGTCCTCCTTTTCTGGACTAGCCACCAGAAAAAGGACACGATACATATGGCCAAGGAAAGACCGAGGCAGTGTTGCCTGTTAACATGGCTCTTGTGGGGGAGCACGGCAGGTTACTTTGGACTAGGTAGGAGCCACCTGTCTCCAAACCTGCACCTCCCGAGGTTCCAGAGACTTCGCTCCCGATCCCAGAGCGTCCTCAGAGTCCTACAGCGCCAGATGGAATCTGGCCTCTCCCCACACCTCAGCAGTCCAGAAAAAGTTATTTGTAGACACGTTCTGTGTCCTCTCCTGCCACATTCCCCTGTTGGCGACTAATGCAGTCACAGAGTCCAGGCTCAGATATGAGGAAACACTATTTTACTAGGAGGGTGATGAAGCACTGGAATGGGTTCCCTAGGGAGGTGGTGGAATCTCCAGCCTTAGAGGTTTTTAAGGTCAGGCCTGACAAAGCCCTGGCTGGGATGATTTAGTTGGGGATTGGTCCTGCTTTGAGCAGGGGGTTGGACTAAATGACCTCCTGAGGTCTCTTCCAACCCTGATATTCTATGATGTCTCTGTCCCTCTTTTATACTCTCTTTCAGTTGCTAGAAAGATCGTTGCTGTGTCATGGGGGTCAGGCAAGCCCATTGGTCAGGCAGTACCCCACTGACTAAGTGCCCTCTCCAAGGAGTCTCTCAGAGAGTGGATTCTTCCTGATGGGCCATCAACACCTTTCTGGCCCTTCTTTGTTTCTATTGTAAAGCTGGCTGTGGGTGTCTCACAACATATTTCAGAAACGCACAGAGAGCATAACTTCCCCTACAATGACAGCATATCCAATCCAACAGGTTATTAATGTTCAACAGATCCAGACATTTTACATACCACCTCACAAGGCATGCATAATACAAAACATCTCATAATCATATCACAGTGGTGAATACTGTGTGCTACTGAGGGATACAAGGTTCCAGAGTGTCAGTGTATCATGGCCAATGGCAGTAAAAGCCCAAAGGAGATGCTCTCCTGGAACAGCCTTTGCCTGCTGCAAAGACCCAGCGGAGACTTGAAACCCGACCCTGCCCCTGTTCCCCTCCTGTCCCACC